GGGTGCGGGTGTAAACCTTTGCCAGGAATGTGAATAATCAACTTCAAAGCAACTATTTCTCACACAGGACTACGGGGAAAGAATACATAGAAACCTTCATTCAGTTCTCGGTTTTCAAACGGGGGCAGGAGGGAGAAAGTAAGCCTATTCAAAGCCACCTCTTCTTCTTCTCTTGGAGGCAGTTTTCTATCTTCTCCCTCCCTTCCCCTCGGACCTTTGCGATCATATTCTGCATTTAACTGGTGCCCACAGGCTGCATCAAAGGTTTAAACTGGACAAAAGTGCATTTCTCCCCCCCCAACCCATGAAAGGTGAAATCAGAAACTGTTCCCAGGTAGGCCCAAAGATCGTCTTGTGAGGCAAGCCATAAGTCTGGTGGCCGTAAGATTTTTCCCACCTACACCATTTGAGGATGAGAACGTGTGTGTGAACTTGAGTGTCAATCATCATATCTGGCTAGAGGTGTCTGGAAGCCCAGTGTTTTTGTCTCCCCCACCCCCCCAAGGCTGAGACATTTCCCTCGTGTGACTTCTGCATGGGATGGGGGCATGTGGTGTAGTTAAGAGCTTTACTGCAAGGAAACCCGCAATACATTATTTTCAAGAGGTTTAACTTCTCCAGGGTGTTTGAATTCTGCCAGGCACTTTTAAGGGGGCTGCTTTTCCCAGGAGTTGATAGTAGGGAGTCTGTTGTAGAAATCTGACACCTCCATTCCAAAAAAGGGGAAACATATTGGGGGCAAGGAGAACAAACAACAATTTGTGATACTGGCTTGTAGAGAAGATTGTGTGGGTTTCCTGTTTCGTGCCTTACGTGAAGGTGGACATCGTTATCCAGGTTGAGAGAGGAAAGTAATCCATGGGATCAGGAGCTTGGAAGGGGACAACTTGAAAGGAAAGGTTGAAGGTGTGGGAGATGTTTATTTAGCTTGGTGAAGGAAAGCTCGCTTGGTTTTAGAGATGAGAAGGATGACTGTCTAGAACAGGAGTGTCCAACCACGGCAACTGTAAGACTTGTGGACTTCAACTCCCAATGCTGGCTGGGGAATTCTGGGAGTTAGTCCACGTGTCTTAAAGTTGCCAAGATCGGACACCCCGATTTAGAAGATGAGGCAGATATTCCAGAAGACAGGTTGGAAAACAAGGGAGTTTTAATGACAAGGAAGTAAGTTTGGGTTGAACAAAAGAGAACATCCCAATAGAGCAAAAGGTTCATGAATGACCCAGACTATTTTGGAGATGCTGAATCTGCTTTGGAGACCATTCCAGAAGGCAAGTGGGAAAGAAGGAGTTTAAATCGCAAGGAAGTTTTGATGGGACACAGGAGAACATCATAATAGGGGGAAAGGTTCATGAATGAACCAGGCTATCTTGGAGACGGTGAATCTCCTTCGCTGCTGAAGGTTGAAGGGAGGATGGATGACTATCTTCTGAGGTTGCTACAATGGTGGATTTTTGCACTAGAGTTAGATGATTTACAACAGGGGTGTCCAACCTTGGCAACTTTAAGACTTGTGGACTTCAACTCCCAGAATTCCTCAGCCAGCTGGCTGAGGAATTCTGGGAGTTGAAATCCACAAGTCTTAAAGTTGCCAAGGTTGGACACCCCTGATTTACAAGAATCTTTCTCTTTGTTATGTTCTAATCTTCCCAAGAGTTGTGTGGGCTGTGGATTAAACAAAATGCTCCACCATTCTGTGGAACATGATTAACTTTTCATCTCCTGCAACATGGAAAATAACTATTTGGTGATAAGTTTGGCAGGTTTCTGGGGGCCACTTTGCATCCCTGGGCTTCAGATTGGACACCTTTGTCTTAGATCCACCTTCCCCATCTTTGGGCCTGCCGGAAGGTAGATCCTGAGACTAGGAATTCTGGGAATTGTAGTCCTCTCTGTGGCTTTGAGCAGTGTTGAGTTGGAGAAAGCTTCCTCGAATAAGTAGTGGTCTCCTTGATGTTGAGATCTGGAAGGAGTAGATGGTAATACAAGTCCAAATCCAGATTGTCCTCAATTTAGAGCAGTTCATTTAGTGACCAAAGTTACAACGGCTCCGAAAAAAGAGATAACCATTTTTTACACAACTGTTCCAGCATCCCCATGGTCACGCGATCAGAATTTGGACACTTGGCAACGGCTTCACCTTTATGACGGTTGCAGAGTTCTAGGATTTTGTGATTTCCCCTCTTGCGACCTTCAGACAACCAAAGTCAATTGGGAAACCAGATTCACTTAAATATCTGTGGAGATTCTCAAGTCATCCAGGTTCATGATTTCCCAAAGATGCTTCCCCCCCCCCCCCAGAGTCAACTGGACTTTCTGGTTTATCTTTGAAGACATTTCGCTTCTCATCCAAGAAGCTTCTTCAGCTCTGATTGAATGGTGGAGAATTTATTTAGGTCGCAACTGAAGAAGCTTCTTGGATGAGAAGCAAAACTGCCTTCAAAGAAAAACCATAAAGTCCAGTGGCCTCTTGATTAACTTAACCACCAGTTTGACTAGCTTAGCCATTGCAGTGATTCACTGGGCAGCTGTGTCGAGAAAGGCCACAAAATAGAGCAAAACTCAACATAACAACTGTCTCGCTTAGCAGAAATGTTGGGCTCAATTGTTATAAGTTAAGGACCGTGTACACACACACACGTGTAGGTGAGAGAGGGTGTGTCTACGAGCCCTTTTTCCATCCAGAGCTTGTTTCCCAAATATTGGGTCAAAACTCTGCAAGCCTTTTGGCCTTAATGAATCCCTGCAAAGACAGATCATTAAGTGAAACTGATGGAAATAGACATTCTGTCTCGCTTAATTTCTTTTAGGGCCTCCATTTCCGTTCCCCGCTGCAGCCCTCTCTACTGTTTTCACCGCTCTTCCATTAACGCTTCCATTTTAGCAGAAGCCCAAGTGACAGCTATGTAATGGCAAGATGGGGTTTGGGATTCCCCTCCCACCCACCCTCTTTTTTTTTTTTTAAAGAGAAGAGGGAAAAATATTTATTCCATTCTCTACTTTCTTAGTTTGGGGGCATTGCCTATTTATTTTATTTTATTTGCTTCCGGAATTCCTCGGGCACCTTTGCCCCAGTAGTTCTGAATGGGCGACTCTGGGCATTTTGGGTTCTCCCAGCTCAAAAGAGGGTGAGTTGGCAACGCCTGGAAACTGCCCACCTGAATGCTAATGATCCGAGTGGCCGCTGCTGGCAGAATGCATCAGCTGACACCCAGGCTTCCCGTCTCTCCCCTGTTTGCCCAAATTAAAGTGGTAGAGAACAAAGTTCCGAAAAAAATTAAGGGTAGGACCGATTTGCATAGACATCTGTCAGATAGGAGTTCAAACACGGCCATCTGGACTCGTATCCCTTGTCATTCTTGATTATTCTCAATAAAGAGGCAGCCCCCTGCAGCTGCTGGTTCGTTTCTGGCACCCAAACAGGCTAAGGAATGGCGCAAGCATACACACACACACACACACACTCACACCTAACAATGATGCTCGGTTTTGTGGGAATGGAATACCGTCTTCCTGAGTGCGGTTTGGGCAGCAGTGTTCTTAATGCGAGCACAATAGTGCAATCCTTTGTGTGTGTGTGTGTGTGTGTTTTCTTTCTCCTGTAGTTGATGGTACAGCCATCAACCCCTGTTGGCAAAGTCTGTCCCTGTTTTCTTGGTCAAAAAGATTTTTTTAAAAAATGCTTCTTCATATTCAGCTACTTCAGTGGGCTCCCGATCTCTTTCTTGCACTTGGTTTGGAAATGTATTGAGATAGCAAAGAGCTGACCTTGGAAGCACCTCTAATACCTTTAGCCATGTTGGTTCCAAATCTACAGTCCTTTATTTGTCGGCTCACTTGGGCAGCTCTTCATTTCCTTTCTAATTTAAGACTGGCATATCTCATTGTACGTCATTTCCCACTAGAAGTCTCTTTTGTACCAATATGAAGACTAATCTGCATTTTCTCACCTGGGGTCTCAACCATGACCATTGGACCAACTCTCACCATGTGTTCTGCATATTATTCTCTGGATGGTATAAAGCAGACAGAGTAACTCCACAAAACATCCATAACAAAGTCTTTTTTATTGGTACCTCAGGAATCCTCATAACTCACATTTGTGATGAAGTTCTTCTGAATGTCCAATCCTTTGCATATCCGTCTTCTAGTGTAGAAAGGTAAAAAGGTCTCAACCCCATGACGATTGAAGCATGGTATAGTATGGTGGTTACAGGCAAGAGTAAGGGAGCCTCCCCCAACCCAACAAGGGTCAATATAGTGACCAATCAGGTTTACAGATGTGGTCACGTGACATGGACTACATTTCCCAGGATACCTTTAACTACATTTACCATGATGCATTCCCTTAAGGGGACAGCTCACAATTCCTAAGTAACTACCCCAAATCCCATTAACTCTAAACTGTCTGGACAGCACACCATACTTAGCTATCATGGTGGCAGTGGTTGGCTCCTGCTGGTTTGGACTGGTTCTAGTGAACTGGTAGTTCCGACTATCAGTTGGCTTTACCCATTCACCTAGGGGTGGGATCCGGCGGCATAGCAACCGGTTTGGAGAGAGCACACACGCGCATCAGACGCTGCATGGTGTGCGCGCTACCGGCTCCAGCAAGCATTTACCTTCTCCAGCTGACGAAAGCAGCTGAGGATAAAAACGCAGCCACTAAAGAACAGCCTAAGGCCCGGGTGAGCAGGCCAAATAGCAGACCAAAACCTCGTCCCAGCGAACCAGTTCAGTGTCAGCTGCACTTCGGAGCTACCGGTTCTATACAACCAGACCGAACCGGTAGGATCCCATCCCTGCATCCACCCTCACCCTATCCCTATGCATGGTGGGATGGAGTTCTGGGCGCCAAAGTCCAGAACGTTTGATGGGGTTACAAATTGTGGGTATCCGCAAAACGATCTGAAACGCCCAGAAGCTCTTGAAGCTGACGGAGGTCGAACATCAGGTGAACCCGACTCACAAAGTTGTCTGCTGTCTCTTCTCTCTTCTAGGATGGCTTCTACCACTTCTTCAATAAGCACGGCTCGGATGCAGCTGACCAGAACAGCACTATCAGCAATGCAATTATGGCGGCAGCAGGATTCGGCCTAGCAGGATTGGCTTTTCTCTTGGTGGTGCGATAAGAACACACACACACACACACTCACACACACACACACACACACACATCCGCGGACTTAGACTGCAGGGAGATGGGATGGGTGGGCACGCTCCTTTCTTACAACCGCTAACGTCCCAGCGAAACGTCCATTCTATATTTCTACGACCGTCGAAGATAGAAGCCTATATATAAATATATATATTTTTAACTAGAGTTGGGGCAAAAATTAGTTGAGCACATCACCTCCCCCCTCCACCAGGCACAACCAGAGGGTCGGTGAATGCCTCTTTGCGCTCATCCTAAGAACTTGGGCATCTTCTGGATCTTGGCGTCAGGGCCGACCGTCACCAGTTGTTCCGGGAACCGTGAGAGTGCTGAGTGTTATTGCTACTTGTTCATGGTGGGCTTGTGATGGAACCAAGTGGAAGATGTGTTTGTTTTTCTTCTTTGTGTGCGTGTGTATGGTGGGGAGGGGAGGGGAAGGGAGGGGAAGGGGTGGGCCAGGCGGGATCATTGCCTTGTGAAATGTGAGCCAGTATTAATAAGAATGAAGAGCTTATTCTTCTTGGGGTGCAATGCAAACCATACCAAGGCCGCTCAATAACCTAAAACTCGCAAGTTCCATGTTGCACAGAGCATTATAGCTTACGTGTTTTTGTTATAATGACATAACTCTTAAGTTACACTACAAATCTGTGTCAAGAATGTTGATACCAAAACAGTAGAAGCTGCAGAACCAGTTCTTAACTGAAGTTGTTTAACTATTAAAAAGAAGAAAAACCTTTTTAAAATTGGTATATTTGGAAGTCCATTGAAGGCTGGGATTTCTGTGGATTTCCTGTCAAATTCAGAAACTTCATATAACTTAATATATTTTTGAAGTATTTATCATTGTATAATACTGGTAGCTGGTTAACATCTATTTTTGTTAAATTCCATTTTTTAAAAAGAAAAGCTCTCCAGTTGCTTTCTTCGCTGTACCTGTCTTATAACTTGTTTAACAGTTCTAGTTTTGGTAATTGATATAATGTGTATTGTACAAAATAGTCTTGGGAAGTGTTTTTGTGTCCTTTCCTTTAGCTTGTACAGTTTTAATATGTGAATAAACAACTGAATATTTTTATTTTAAACAAGTTCACGAGCAGACTTTATGTGGAATTCTTTTTTTTCCCCCTCTCTCTCTCAAAGACCCAACATGCCGAATGTGCCTTCAGGAAAAAGCTGCTCTTGTTTTTTGTTCATTTTTAATGCTTTTTTCCTCTGCTTGAGGGGAGATAAATGCTATCGCTTCCATGTTCCAGCGAGCAGGAGGCTGGACGCCATCTTTGCAAATGAAAGAATTCCTGCAAACGTTTCACATATGCTTATGTCACAATGTACTTTCTGTCTCACAAGGTAGTTTGGGAATCTATTGTACAGCTGTGCGGCTGTGGTACGTTGTGATGAACACAACTCCCCAAACATTTTCAGAGATGGAGAGGCGGAAGTTCGGCCTATCTTAGTGAATCAAGTGCAGGTTTGGCCAGGGGCGTAATTTGTATTGAGAGGCCATGAATTGAAGATTGACATTTGGATGTCTTTTGGTATATACCTTAGCTTGGGAGAAGAGGTGAACATGTGCAGGCACCATCTCTTTAAACCAAAACTAAAAGCAGCAGGTCCGGTGTTTTGTGTCTGCATTAGCTATACAGGTTATACACAACTGCGAAAGTCAAGATATATCTAATTTTGTATTGACTCAATGTCTACAGAGAGTACAGTCAAAAGTGAATAAGGAAGCAATTAAAGGAGCCAAGAACCTTTGAGCACTTTCGTTTTCTATTTTTATCCCTCTGTGAAGTCCCAGGGTTGGTTGGTGTTTTTTTTTTACTGTTTATAGTGAAAGAAATGCAAGTTGAATGTTATTTGGCAACCTGAAAGCAGTCTGTTGATGAATCTATCGTATCTATCGTATCTATCTATCTATCTATCTATCTATCTATCTATCTATCTATCTAT